TGGGGGGGTAAGCTTTTGTAATTCTGGATTTATTGGCGAATGCAAAACGCAATTAGGATTCGTTCGGTATCTTATTCGTTCCGGTGGATCGCTTGCACCATTGTTTGATTCTAGCGATTCAACACCACCACTTTAAAGTTTGTACCATTTTTTGGCATAAAATAATTGTGCCAAAAAGAAGAAACTCATAAAATCGGTAGTGTTGAAGCGCCTTCAAGGTAAAATTGACTAAGAATTAAGATGACAAATTTAGATATTTATTAAAGTTTAAAACAGAAAATATTAAAGAATTTGGAATTAATTACAATTATTGCGAAACAGTTTTTTTTCATGTAAGTATACATACATAGGTAGGTAATGCTAGTTAAGTTAAAGATAATAAGGACAGTTACAAGAAGTAATGACGTCCATTTAACAATAGCTTGATGAAAAACTTAAATCGTAAATAAAATGACAAAAGAGGTCCTTTTCTCACAATCCAAAATCGTTGTTAACCTAACAAGTGAGGAAAGTGTTTCTGCACGTGATGGAAGTTGCACGAATGACAACAAAAAGCAGAGTTCGGACAAGCCTTTAAGTCCAGAAAATACACTTTCCGCATGTGTTAGGTAGAAAGTTTATGTAGTTATACATAATATAAAGCTCATTCAAGAAAATGATTTCGCCTGGATGATAGAATAAATATTTTTGATAATAGTCTATACCCTTTACCACTAGCTTTAAGCAAAGACAACGCCAACAACTTCTCGTCCAATGTAAATCGTCTAGCTTTAGGCTTTTGGTTTTGAGTACGGACTTGGCTTAAAATAAAGCTGTATATCAATGGATTGACGTGGTCTACGAGCCTTTGAAATTTGGTTTATGATGCAAGTTATTCAGCAGCAGAAACTTTGGATTTAAATGACGACAACCTTCTACTGATTCTTCTTAACTTATTGCTGGATTCTATAACTTTGGAATAAAGATATTTTTCCCTTGGGGATAGGAATTTTTTGCCTAGTGACGTTAATGTTCTTTAAAATTTGGCATCGTCTCTCATGACCTGCAAAAAAAAAAATAGGTCAAGATTGGAGACGAGCTTTTCGCACATTTAGCTTCTAATTTTTCTAGCATTCGACTGCAAGTTTTAGTAATTAGTAGTCTTTTATAGTAGTAGTCCTACTTGAGTTAGAATGTTTTAAAATTCACCTAGGGTGAAAGTACCTGTTGTCGGCCACTTAAGGCAAATTCTGGAATAAAATGGCGATTGAAAATTAGTGGATAGAGCGAATGGAATTTAAATTATGTTTTATGATACCTTATAGTATATTAAATTGATTAATGCAACAAAAAAGGGCTAAAAGGTTTTGCATTTTTATAGAAAAATGCTTTTATTCAAAAACGTGCATTTTACCGGTTGTCGGACAATCATCACATTTCTCGGACACAAAGGGACCCGTTGTCGGACGCGTGTCCGAGAAATACGTTTTTTCGTCCACATAAACTATTACACGCTAAATGGTACCAGTTTGGGCACCTCTCACAGCCAATATTTTATTTTGGAATTTTTAGTCAATTTTATTTTTCTTCCATCATTGATTGAACTTTTTTTGGTATTTTGTTTCTCTATAGTCTTTTCCTCTTTTTTCTTTGTTTGTGCTTCAAGTTTTTTTTCTTTGTCTCGTTTTTTTCTTTCATAATATGATCTATCTCCATGCCTTCGATGAGATTGCACTTGGTAATTTCTCTTTTTTTTTTTTTGTTTTCTTGGCTCTTATTTCATAGATTCCGGAAACTGGAGGTGGGCGACTGGAAGGACTTACAGCAACGGCAACATTTTGCATTTTAATGGGAGTTTTTTCTTGAGCCTCCAGTCCTATGTCTGTTGTTTTTTCAGGTTTCTCAGTTCCAGGAAAATGACTTTGATCTTTAAAAGGAGATTTTTCCATTGCTTCTTCAATTTCTATTTCATAAATACTTTTATCAGATTTATTCTCTGTACACTTGTAACACTTTTTTATTAAAATGAAAGCAGAAAGCACTACCCCATACCCCCATACCCATATAAGTAATGTAAAATGTCCGAGAACTTTACACCTACCTTTTCTCGGACACTTTTTCAGGTATACTACAATTTGACGCCTCTGTGGTTTATAGTGTCCGCAAACTGGGGTCGTATTTTCGAATATTCTCGCATACGAAATTTGATACGATTTCGAATGCTCCCCATTTAATTTACATTGCTGTCAGTCAAATTTCGTGTACGAAATGTACTCGAATGAATTCGAAAATACGACCCCTGGTCCATAGAATCTCGATACAGTCGTCTAAATGTAACTAATAAGGAAAATTAAGTTGGAAATCAAATAAGCTAGAAAAAGATACATATAGTTTCAACGTGCCGGACCAATTGTCGGACAGAGTGGCCGAGAAGAGGAGTCTGCCGATTTATAGGACCGGTTATCCGGACATTTAATAAAATTAACAAAATATTAATATTCATTTAATTTTTATGTTTATAATTCTAAATTAACATGTTTATAACTTAAAAACATCAAGAAAGTATCGAAAAATGGAGTAGGAACATTTTTACTTACTATTTCCTTCAAATTTTTTCACTTGATCAAAAGGGCTGTGTTGGGAAAAACAGCCGACATATTATTATTTTTCTTAATTTGATCTAGGCCCGTAAAAAGGGCAGTATTACAAAAACTGATGGGGAAATAGTGTCTGAAAGTAGGTATTACTTTAAAAAAGGGTTTGATATAATATTTTCCTATTTATTGGATATTTTGTCGTAAAGTGTCCGACAACAGGGGGTGGCCGGCTAACAGGTACTTTCACCCTACTCCCAACTGGGTGGTTATTCATTAAGCAATAACACTTAGGTACCTACCAATAAAAGTTTTAAGAGACAAAGTTGGTTGGTGACTTTTTCATGTTTGCAGATGTGATGGTTCCACTTGGTGTAGCAATGTCTGCCCGAATTGCAGAAGTTTCAGTAGATAAAAATTGACGACATGAAGGGCCTGGTTGATCTAAAACAGAAATTTCGTTACCAATGATTCTACCAAAAAAGTTTGGATACATGCATTGTAGAATATGGTGTACCTGTATGTAACCAGGAATATTTTAATTATTGTGTCTCCTGATAAAGGAATAAACATTTAAAAAAAAAGAAATGAATAATATTAGCTTTGTTCCAACACAGCAGAAAACCGTACAATGTACCGTCACGATTCTGCGCAGAAACTAAAATTGTTATACTGAGTGGTTTCGAAACCGTTCATGGGACGATTTTTTGACGTGTTGGAACAGAGTTATTATGTTTACCTACCTATATCAATCATAGTTGCGAAACTAATTTCTGAAGGCGTCTTAGGACTCTTCGACGAGTTTCAACTGTGTCGATCTCCACTTTTTGCCATTTTGGTGATTGTGGTTTATCAATTAACGACTCCTCACTGTTTTTGATAATTGGGGCTAAAATTAAAATTAATTTTAATGTTTCTGACCTATGCTCCTTTAAACCCGAATTCTAACACGTTTTCGTTAATCAGAACTATGGGGAGGAGTAAGTGAAAATGTAAGTACGTCTTTCTCACATATATCTAGTATTAACTTACCTTCAGGGAGATACAGCAAAAGCGCAGCATTCCATGTGAGTCTGGCTTTTGAATTGCTAACAATTAATTGTTGAGGAAAATGTCTTGTTCACACTCTATAATTATTATAAGCCTTCTCGACACTGAGGCTATTTAGTAAAGGATTGCGAACTTTTATTAGCCATTGTTTCATTTTTTCGGCATCTTTTGGAAACCGGAAATAGCTGCTGTATTTGTCGCCGCACCCCGGAACACAGCATTTCTGATGCTTTTCAATTAACAAACTAGGAGAAGACATTTTGAGATAATAATTATTGATAATTGATAGGTAATTGATAATTCTAAATGTTGGGAGAAGTTCAAAATTTAAATTTTGACGACTGGAAATGACAAAATAAACTTCAAATCTTGGCGCACGGTCCGACAGGAAAAAGAAAACTTTAATAGGTTGATTGAAGCGCCTCTAGTGATTGGAGGGGAAAGCTGAAACAACTAGACTGACGTCTCTCATAAGACTTACATTTCTAAGGGGGGATGTTTTGTGATGACATTCTGCGTTCAATGACACCTAATCTAGGTATTTTTTGAAATAAATATCAATTAAAATACCGGTTGTGTGGTATCAAATTATTCTTAATAAATTACTCTTTCCAGCTATTCTAATGAGCCACCCTAGTTCCATTTGAAAAAGATGGGTTTAGGCCAATAATACGATTTTCAAAATTTCAAATGTATCTGTACACAGTTTTAAGGTAAGTTTCCTATGAAGCGGCGGACGCACGCGGCTGACGGACTGCGTGAATAGGCTTGCGTCAGACGCAGTCCGTCAGCCGCGTGCGTCCGCCGCTTCATAGGAAACGTACCTTTAGGAAGAACGATCTAATTCATTTTTCCTCGGGTATATGACCAAAAATTAGCCGTTTCAACAAATTTATAGCCCTCTAGATTGGATATTGGAAATATAAATTATTCTGAGGTTAGCTGTCGAAAAGTGACAAATGAGATGTTGGTGTCATTGAACGCAGAATGTCATTTTGTATCAAAATAAGTAAAAATATATCGGGTGTCCCATTTAAAATAAGGAAGTTTGGGTGCATGGTTTCCGGTCAAACCGGAAGTGACAGAAATTAATTGAATATGTCAAATAATGCATATTAATGTAAAATACTTATGCACCGAATACGGGCGAGTCACTTTCTTGGAACACCCACGTTACGTTCTAAAATTTCACCTATTCTTTAATTAAACTATTTCCAAAACATTAAAGTTAAATCTTTGGTTATCCATCCCTTAGAAACTATTGCACGCTCAGATATTTGTTGTGGTGAATTTTTTTTACATTTTTAGGTAATTGCTGGATATTTTGCTAATGCAGTTGGTGCCGTTGGTGGATGATCAAAAACGATACGGTCCGATATGGGAACAGAAAATAAGACAGTCGAACAAATGCAGTGCCCTTTAAGAGAATTATTCGCAACAGAAGCAGCAGCGACATCAAGACCCCCATATCTGTATGGCAGAAGCACACACAATCAAAGAATCGAATATTGGTGGTGTATTCTTCGTAAACATCATGCACAGTTTTGGATGAATATGTTTCAGCGTCTTAAAGATGAAGGTTTATTTGATGGTTCTTTACTGGATAAGTCATTGGTTCAATTTTGCTTCGGAAGTTTGGTTCAGGTAAGAAATAGTGGCCTAGGTACGGTAATTGTTTCTGCGCGCGAAATGAGCAGAATTTGACAGACGTCACTTGATGACTTATCTCTTTTCACGTGTCAAATCACGTGGCATCTGTTAAATTTTGCTCATTTTGCTCGCCAGATGCAATTACCGAACCCAGCTACTAGCTAGTATATTACAATTCGAGACAGAAAATGCTTTATTGCTGGTCAAGAGGTCATATAGTTTATGGAGACGCTTAGCGTCGAGATAAAATAAACATCGAGACAGCAATGAAGTTTTCCGTCGAGGTTTGTATACAATTTTATTTTCAACCCTCAATTTCTGAGGCAAAAACTCAAAGATTTTATTGTACGAAATCAGCCTCCACTTTCTTTTGTCATTTGTCATCAATTTTGACAGTCCTAAAGAATTGACAAATATCTGACAAAAAACAAGCAGGGAAATCAGGACGGAAACGCATTTTCCGTCCGTGGCAGGCATAATCATTGCCGTCTCGAAAAGATGATGTATCGTTCTCCTTATATTTTACATGCTTCTAGAAAAAGATGCGAGAGCACTCAGTGCACACTTATCGGCAAATGTATATCGAAAACGCTAACTTAGGTCAGAAAATTGTCTGATCGTAAGCGACTATTATAGGCTGAGTTCGTTTATTACATCTGCGAGCAAAATGGGCAAATTTTGATAGATGTCACGTGATTTGACCCGTGAAAAGAGATAAGTTATCACGTGACGTCTGTCAAAATTTGCTCATTTAATGATAGTTTAGGTATTATTTAACGCCCGTATGCTCCGTAAGCTAATTTCGCGGATTAGTTATGAAAACCTGGATTAGATATAGTTTTCGTCACGCACTGCACGAAAAAAGTCATAAGCTAAGCGAGATTTACAAATCCAGAATTAATTTTAAAACGGTGCATACGGGGGTAAGTAAGCATCATCGGAAGATTATCAAAATCAAAATCTATTCCTTTTAGCATTGTCAAAAAACTCTACTCATTTTACTTATTTATATTAATTGTTTCAGAACGAAATGGATCAAGTAGTCAGAGAATGGAATGCCCATAAAATAAGCAAATCAAGGAATAGCATAATGCCCTGTGGAAGGCCTCGTATAATGCTTGAAATGCCTTCTTTATATAACGCTAAAAATTGTTTAATACCTGTACCACAATTCGCACTAGAGCCCTTATTATCTTATTGTAAATTTTTACATTATCCATGTGATAAAGACTTTTATGATCTTTGCAAAATTCTGATGTATGAGCTTGGACATCAGGAGAAGAAGACCCTGAGCATGCAGTGGATTTGTACATTCATTTAAGGGCTCATCTGAAAACAATATTCAAGTATATTTGTGCATGTAATCCTATAATATTATAAATGTATGCATTTTATGCTGATATATTTTAAAAACCTGAAACACATAAATAATAAGCTTATTTATAATTTTCAGAATAAAATAAAACATTACCACATTACCGAGTGCACTAATGTTAAATTATTATTGATTACCCACTATGGAGAAGAATTTATTACCCGATCTGCTTATTTTTGCTCATATCTAAGCAAAAAAACCAACATTTGTAAGCCACCTGTAAAACACAAGAAGCAAGAATGCTGAATTTCCTTTGCACCTGACTTTGTGACGTCACCACTAATGCTGCGTATCCTGATATCACTGGCTACTGGCTAAGTTCGTTTATTACATCTGCGAGCAAAATGAGCAAAATTTGACAGATGTCACGTGATTTGGCACGTGAAAAGACATACCTAAGTAATCACGTGACGTCTGTCAAGATTTGGTCATTTTGCTCGCAGATGCAATAAACGAACTCAGCCAACTGAGCGCAGGAGCTAATTAGTTAGCCGCGTTCATTCTTGATGCAGAGCGATCATTGAAAGAATCAACGTTGAAACTGATCCACTGCTTATTGATTCTATCGAACGACTACTCCGCCACATAAACGCGATGGAATAATAGTAGAAAAAGTATTGTTCCTAACACGTGCGCAAAATGTCTCTTTCTACGAGCGTGCGGTAGAGTGCACTTTTCCGCACTCAGTGACCGCACTCCAAAATGATGTCATGACACAAAAAAATAGTGCGGAAAAGTACTTTACCCCTCTATTTAAAATTTAATTCATCATAGCTCGATTCGATGAATATTCACAATTTCACAGTATATTCTCCACTTTTTGATCAAAATTCACTAAATAAAAATCTTGTACCTAACGCGATGCGTAAAGTGCCTTTTCCGCCATTGCCGACCACTTTCCGCACTTGTTAGGTAACTATTCCCAAACTTAAAGCTTATCCGATTTCCGCTTCGCCTAGTTCGTCTAAGCCTAGTCTCCATTAACGCGAAATCGCTAGGCTCAACTGCTTTTTCGTGCAGGAAAATATCACTTTGCGCAATTGTTAGGAAAAATAAATATAAACCATTACAAGTGCGTAATATCACCTATTTCAGAATACAAAAAGGCTTCAAATTTTGTAATAAAAATAACAGAACTGTATTTATAGTTATTTATATTACTAGTACGGTATGAGCTCCATTACAGCAACGAGTGGGGAATATTGCCACGACGAGGTCGTAAACTACACGAGTGCTGTAATTAGCGTTACCGTACCTACGTGTGATATACAACATTTTATATATATAGGTATATACTTATTACGACCCAGATTTTAAAATTGTGAAATGATTACTGATTTTTAAATAAAAATGAGTAACGACCTTATAACATTACTAGTGATGTAATGATCTCATTACATAACTAGTGCGATATTACTTAAAATGGGTTATGTAATAAGCTCTTATAGTGTAATAGTCCCCAGTACATCGACCCTAAAATTTTGTAACTCATGTATACGCCAAACTTCCTGAGCGGCTTCATAACACCAAGTCGGATAATATTTTTCATGTCTCCACCCTGGGCGATGGGACATTGCCGCGCTAGCTCTTCGTGAAGTTGTCGTTCTGACGTCCCTAAGGAAGTTGATACATGTACGTGTAGTTTCAATGCCAATCGACTGTTTTTTACATTAAATTAATGATATCACATTTGTCGGAAAAAAACCATGTGGCTTTGGGGAAGGTCCGACGCCCTCAACATGTCGCTGTGGCGTCCCTGAGGAAGTTGATACATGTACGTGTGGTTTTGATGCCAATCGACTGTTTTCTATGTTACATTATTGATATCACATAAGTCGGACAAAAATCACGTGGCTTTGGGGGGGCCCGACGCCACCGACATGTCGCTGTGGCGTCCCTAAGGAAGTTGATACATGTATGTCCGACAAAAATAATTATGAATAACAATGTAATTTTAAAACATGTGTAGTAAATGTCGGACAAATAAAATGAGTATTAAAGTCAGTCGGACAACAAGAGTCCTTTTGATCAATTTTTGCCGAAATTCAGGATCTTCATTCCTGAGATTGCACAAAAAACACGACTGAATATCCATTCTTTCTCACACGCGTGGTTTTGAATGACCGTTCACTAAATAATTTCCGTAAATACTCGGAGAACTATCAAAAAAACAGATCAGGGAAAATGACACAGGGCCCCACAGGTATTTGGTATTTGACAAAGTAGGTAAATAATAAACTAATATGCACGTTGCGTGAAGGCAAACTAATTTTAATTTTTTCATTGATTGTCTCAAATTTCTTATCCGACAAATGTGATATCGTTAATGTAATGTAAAAAACTGTCGATGGGTATTAAAAACACACGTACATGTATCAACTTCCTTAGAGACGCCACAGCGACATGTTAGGGGTGTCGGACCTTCCCCAAAGCCACATGGTTTTTGTCCGACAAATGTGATATCGTTAATTTAATAACAAAACAGTCGATTGGCATTAAAACTGCACGTACATGCATCAACTTCCTTAGGGACGCCACAGCGACTTGTTGGGGGTGTCGGACCTTCCTCAAAGCTACATGGTTTTTGTCCGACAAATGTGATATCGTTAATGTAATGTAAAAAACAGTCGATTGGCATTGAAACTACACGTACATGTATCAACTTCCTTAGGGACGTCAGAATGACAACTTCACGAAGAGCTAGTGCAGCAATGTCCCATCGCCCAGGGTGGAGACATGAAAAATATTGTCCGACTTGGTGTTATGAAGCCGCTCAGAAAGTTGGGAGTGTACATGAGTTACAAAATTTTCGATGTACTGGGGACTATAAGTCGTCTATAAAAAAAATTAAATTGATGGTTTCTGGGAAACGAAACGTCGCAGAGAAAATTTGTGAACGCCATCTTTTTGAGCCAAAAATGGAAAAGTGCCTTATTTATTTTCTGATATCAAAATAACGTCAGGAATAATTAAAAGCCAAAATCGAAAAAAATAACTTTTTCTTCAAACGTCAGTAAATCCGACATTTCTCTACTGAGTATTCGGCCGCGAAGTTTAATTTTTCCTCCGGCGGCGGGAAAGTGAAAAGTACCTAAATCATCAAAAGTGAAAATTCGTGGCCGAATACTCATTCGAATTTTTGCAATAATTTGCCGAAGTGAAGAAAAAACAGCATATTTTTTTAAGAGAAAAATCTTCTTTTCGTAATAATTATGTCTTACTCTCTATTAGCAGCCGAACGCAGTGAGCGTGCCATGAAAAGTATCACGTACTGTGCAAAATACAATAATATTCAAATTTCAAACAAACAACTTGGAAATTAATTTTCTTCCATTAGTTTTCGCAGCATTTGTCAGGGACTGTAGTACCTACTCAAGCACAAAATTCAGTAAATAAAATTCCATACGATGATATAAATCTTTATTTATCAAAACAAACTGAAATAAAATTATTTACTAAGTAATAACGCTTTCCTAGCATAATTCCAAAATTAGCTACCTTTCAAACTTACACTTAAAAAAAAATTCACTGAAAGCTCAGGCCTAAATTCAGCAGACGTACCACAACAAAATAAAATAAAATTCTTTAATAAGTCTAAGAGCCAGTAAACTTTTCGCGTAAAAAGTTCCCGATGGAAAATTTCTTTCTTGAACGATGTAGTATCGATGACCCGTGATCGAAAACCATAGTCTGGCAGCATTTCTGGGCAGCATGTAGCGGGGAAGTTTGCCCAAAGTGCAAAAAAAAAAAAATTCGAAAAACTTGACGAAAGATGTCATTGCTTGGTTTTTGTCTAAATTAAGAGTGCGTTGATTTCACAAAAATCAACCATAAACAGAACACAGTATTGTCAGATTTGAACGCCATTGACGTCCCTAATTTAAACAAAAACCAGGTGTCAGCAAGTATTCCGAATTTATATTTTTTTTGCACTTTTGAGGCGTCTAGCAAGATTTTAAATCCGTGAAAACCGGGTGGCATTATTACAGCCTTGTCAATTTTGTTGACCATAAATTTCTACAACTTTGCTCTAATTTAGCCGATCTCGTACTTCTCACCGTTTCCGAGATCCCAATGGTTGACCAAGAAAAAAGGAAACCCTATGTATACACACACCTTTGGATCACTGGAAGTTGGTCCGCAACTTTTAACCATATTATATGTCTAGAAAATCCATCAATACACACATTTATACATAATCCATATGGCTTGAATTTATCATAGGAATCTAAATGCCAAAGAAAATTTGGGCCATTGCTGTAGTATTGCCTGCGTCGTAATCGCTTTCTACTTCGTAGGTCAACTCCTTCCGGATCCAAAACCTGTAGTAACTCTCTAACTACCTCCTGTGTTACAGTTAAGTTATGCTGAATACACCTGAGGTGCATCTACTTATATCCATGTAATTGCCTAAATTTTTGTATCTTCCTTTCAAGAAATCGCACATCGTCTTCAATTGGGGAGAAATTTTTTCTTCGGAAAACCCGCAAATTAGACAATTTACGTTTAAGAGTTCGTAAGGGAATTCTTATATTATGAATATGTTTTAGAAATGCCACAATTTCTTTATGTTGAAATCCAAGCGAAAAGTACTTTTCAATGAGGGTGTTAACTTCAACCTAAAATGAAATAAAGACAAATAGAAAAAGGTAACACGTGTTATTATTCTAAAAACTACTTCCAGGCAGTTCCACTACCTAATACCCCAACTAAAGACCAAAAGGTGAAAATTTATAATCGGATTTTAAATTGCACAATTTTTTGAACTTCATGTTTGACTGAACCCTACTCCTGAACATGCGTTTAATGGAGAGGTATCTATAAATAACAATAATTACCTCGTCTTCGGAGTCACCCATAGCAAATTGTAGAGAACGTACTGCAACACTAAAACTACGAAAAACGAATGGAGAAGTAATTTCTAATTTCTTCCAAAACCCAGACTAAACACAGTGCGACTGAAGTAAATCGGAAGATGACTGTTTATACGCATCTAATATTCCGACTTATAAGTCGGAATCACCTTATTCCGACTTATATGTCAGAATTCCGACTTATAAGTCAGAATTCCGACTTATAAGTCAGAATTCCGACATATAAGTCAGAATTCCGACTTATAAGTCGGAATCATCTTATTCCGACTTATAAGTCGGAATTCTAACTTATAAGTCGGAATTTAATACGGGAAAAAAAATCACAAAGTGGCCCTTCTACGCTTTCGTACTTATTTACTAAACCGTTCAATGTTTATTCTTTTTTAAATCATACAGATGAAAAAGGACAGTTGACATAGCAGCTCAACAGGGGAGTCTGTTGAATACAGGAATTATAATTTTTGTTTACAATTTCAGATAGATCATTTGTTGTGTCATTTTCACATTTTTTTGCTGCTTTAAAATGAAATTCTTCAAATTTAATGCTTACAATCTGTTATGTGCACAAAACATGTTATGTGTCATGGGATATCCACCTCAAAGAGAACCTAAATGATTAAAAGCCGTCAAAAATAAAACAATTTTCAATCTTTTTTTATTTGATGTCCGTAGAAACATTCATATATACATATTATTAGGAGAATTTCGCAAAATAGAATTATTCTACGTGGTGAAGAGCAAAACTATTTAAAATTAATGTGCATAATTTGTAATTTGAAGTAGTATTCACCTTTGCACCTGATAGATTGACCCTTGTCAAAATTAGTCAACTTCATCATCGTCTTGCAGTCCTTTCTTCCCATTTAGAATGTCTTGTATTTTTAAAAATGTTATCAATGTGTTCTATTTTTCCCATAAGTACCAGTGCAAGACGGTGTAAAATGATTTCTCCCTCCCTCATAGGACAACACATTGACCTCTGTCTTGCAGCCCATTATCCCCTCACAGTACGTCTTGCATCAGTATCCAATGGCTATTCTACATTCAAGCTTTAATCTAAATCAACAATTGAGTGGTGTGAAATGATATTTCACCCCTCTGAAAAATTGACAATTTCTATCTAATATTACAACCCGAAAACCCCCAGGAAAATGTCTTGCATAGGGTATTCTAATTTTGTTTGTGTACAAATTAACTTAATAAGTAAATGCAAGACGGTGTGAAATTGTATGTTTTCCTGGATTATGACGACATTTTCTCAAACATTTTTATCAGCTAAATTCCCCACTCCCATATATTTCACTGCGCAAGTGCGTTTCAGCATCATGTTATCTAACTGATGATAACAATGCAAGACGGTGTAAAATGATTTGATGAAATAGGCCTCGTATCCCGTACTATGTATTTAATGAGAGAATTTCATAAATCAAAAATTTAATTTTTTTGTCAAAAAACACCAGTTTTCGCACCAGTTAGTATGCAATTATCTGATAATTTGCACTAGTGCAAATTATCGCGTAATTACAATCTGATTGGTTCAAATCAACAATCAAAACATGTCAATTTATTGTTGGAATACCAGTTTTGACAGATTTATGAAATTCTCATCATAAAAACGGCCAATAAAATCAAAAATTGACGTGTCCGAGGAAAATATTCACCCTGTATATTTTATAGATTTTATTCCAACCTTTACGTGCTGTATAGATTTTCCTGATGAGGATGAAAGTGAAGAAGAAATTGATGAAAACGAAGATTTTGGCGATTTATCAGATTTGGATGACGGCAATCATGGTAAAGGTGACATCAGTTGTAATGGAAGTGACTCCGAAGGGATAGATGACGATAAAAACGATATAGTCCAGGAGGCAGTGAAATTTTTTAGCACTTATTTTCCTAGTTGGTGCATATTAAATAGTCTGTTTTCTTAGTCACACAACACAATAATTTTCTAGTCTGGCTGAAATTTTTGGATGGGTTTACAAGATGAATTGAAAATACAAGTGCACTTATTTTCCTAGTCATAAATATTCCACATTTACTAAAATAGAACATAAAGTATATGAGAATAGCAGTCTGGCTTATCTTAAGTCACGGAATGTGAGTCTGGCTGAAAATTTTCGGATTCAAAAGTTTTACCGATTTTGCGGATCGGTTACCCTTATTTTTCCAAGCTTGAAATTTAGCATATAAATTGATATTATCATTAACTGTAATTAAAATAAAGTCTGGCTGATTCACGGAATTGGCAAATGAGTCTGGCGGCATGTTCAAAATCGGGAAAATATAAAATATTTGCCCTTATTTTTCCAAGTTTGAAAATTTGTCATACGATAGATTATACTATAGTTTTACAGAAAAAATACGTCTGGCTGTCACTTACAATCACGAACTGTCAGTTCGACCAGCATTTAATGATATGAATATTATGATGGTAGTGATATTATGATGATAGTGATAGCGATGACGAAGGAGAAATTGATGAAGAAGATTATTAATTTTAATTATATTTTCTATTCGTCATTTAAATATTGATTTTTATGTTTGATTAAATATAGTTATATATTTTATTTGCAATCATATATGTAATCTTGTCATTACTGACTTTTTAAAAATTTGGAAGTGAAACTTTACCTGTGTCACTTCCCTCTTCGATTTCCTTCACCGATTTCCCTATTCGACTTCCCTCACCGATTTCCCTCACTCTAATTTATTTACCTTTGCTGGCAACAATGAGAACATGTCAGGTAAAAACGTCAAAGCAGTGAATGGCACATTTTGGCATGTTTGTTATATTTTTTTAATATTAAAAAAATTGACTGACTAATCATAATTGATGGTGTGCTTGCAAATAAAATAGTATACAAACCTCGGAGGAAAGTTTTCATTACTGTCTCGACGCTTCGCGTCTCGATTGACTATATAAATCTCTCGACAGTAATGAAACACTTCCCTACTCGGTATGTAATATACTATTTCCTTAACCAGATTTTGGTAGATACGTAGGTTCATTACTCAAAATACCATGCAAAATAGAGTCTTCTTGCATTTTTATTAAAATTAATGAATTCGTCAATAGTTATCTACATTCCAAGCATTTCGCGCACTGGATATAAAAATAATTAATTTTTATCTTGAATAGGCATGCGAAAGTAAAAGTGACTATTATTATACTAGCATGTTTCAATAGGGTACTTGCATGGAAAATTAAATTGATTATTGTTTATTGCAAACTGTAGGAAATCGAAAAAAAATCGTTACTTTTTTTTTATTTCGCCCAAATATGATTATTCCGGAGTTTATTCAAATATTAAGTTTTGTATATATAGATATACTGAGCATGTGCAACGTCACTAATTTATTACACAAATGACGTCATAGGCAGATTTCATAGTGTTGTATCTCCGTCAATTTTTGACTAAGAAGAAAAAGAAAAAACACGTGTTGACTTATTTTTCATGGACTATCGAAATCAGCAATAAAAAAATTTGATGCAAGGAGCCTATTGCGCTTTCGCTCGCCTATGCCAGATAAAAAAATGTATTTTCGTAGGGGTGGATGAAATAAATATAACGGGTACCTACATGTGACACTAATAACCTGTATAATCGAATCGAATTTAGCGCGCCTGCGATCATTCGACAAATCTGGCAAGGCCTTGGGGGTGTTCCATATTAGCCAGATTGTATTTTAAGCTGACATTATAATATAGGCCATCATCAGATAAATTTTCATGACTGCGAAAATGAGGAAAATTTTATCGTTGAAAATTTTTCAAGTTTCCACTTGCCAGACATATTATCCATATTCACAGATTAGCCAGACTATTTTTTTACGTAATTTCAGTATACCTCTTACTAGTAGAACTATTTTCATCACTGGAAAAAAAAGGACCCTGGTTTCGTATGTTCTGACGCATTTTCCGCCACAACCCATCGGAAAACCCCCCCTAAATATATATGAATTTTGCTTAGAATTACTGACCCTACAATTCTATCCATGTTTCGTGACTGGGAAAATAAGTACCGAAAATCGTCACTGCCTCCTAGACTATATAATGATGATGCTGATGATAATTATGCAGATTCTTTTTTTGATAATGTTGATGATTAAAACGTTTTTTTCCTAAAGATACAATTTTTTATCATTCTGCCTTATCATATTTAGGTGTCTTGAGAGCAACTTTAATTTCAATTAACTGGTTGCCAGACGGGAGAAAACTGTTTGGCCACATAAACATTTTTCGCAATTTAACAATAATTGTGCAACGTATGTAGCATAATGTAGCTCATTGCGGTTTCTGCCATATTGAGAATATGCATAGTCTCATAACTATATTTCACTAAAACTAACGGCAGACGGGTTAAAAACGTTCATGATATGAACAATTTTTGTTCCAATTTTGTTAATCAATTATAAAACTTGTATCAGCCTGCAATTTCTGCCAGTCGAAATTTAAGCTTTTAGTAGTAGCTAATTTAATATAAATTACTGGCAGACGGGAAAAAATTGATCTCAACTTTGAAAATTTTTGACATTTTTATTGTTTCTGCCAATTATTAATATACCTTGGATACATCTGCCAATACATTTCTTGGATTTTACTTTGCATATCAAACTCATCTTCCAAATGGCAGATGGGAGAAAATTGTTTCAACATCTCAGCATTTTGATACAACTTCAAAAATTGTCAAATATTATGATAACAACGGAGATTTTCTGCCATTTCCTCACTGATCTCTAAATCGTAAATGCAACATAAATTTAATTTGGCAGACGGGAGGTCGTTGATCCACATGTCCGATTTTGGCGACATTTTGAAATTAGTGATATGACACTTTATACTAACCTAGGGTTTCCGCCGTTTAGCTTCCTTGTACTCATTTTTGTTTAAATTACCTTCACAATGTGTGGCAGACGGGATAATATTGATCCAAATCTCCACTCTTCATTACATTTTCAAATTAGCATATCATTGTATTGTCACACGCGGGGCTCTTTGAAATTTCAGCCATTCCACTTCTTATTGCATAGAGAAGAACCATCCTGAATGGCAGACGGGAGAAAATCGTTTTAAAAAAATGGTCGTTATGCACCGGTCTATTACCTAAAACTCCAGTTGAGGCAAATGGGGTCGTTAATTTAATGGAACTCGTTCGACTATCACTTTTACAATCACCAAACACACATCGCTTCATCGCCTCTCGATATAACATATCACGTTCTCCCAAAACTTCCATAATTCTTTCTGCCAAAGTCATTCATAATGAAATCTTCTATTAGTAGTACTTATTTTTTGTTTCATGTTATGATCTTTCATAAAATTTTTTTTCTATTTTGGTTCCATATCGAAGTCTTTTCGACACTAAAATGAGTTTCGAAAAGAAGCTCTTTGTGACACTCCTTTTTTACTTATCGGAAGTTTGTAACACTGGCTGACTGATGGCCATCGAACTGTCATTTGCGATTTTATTATGGTAAAAATAAAAATAAAAAAGAAGATTTCTATATTTGGCATGTAATGTTACCAACCTAAACATGAAATCAGGAAATATGAGAATAAAGTTTCCAAGAAAAATTTGTTTTTTTTTAATTAAACAATACCAAAATAGAAAAAATAGTATAAAATATTCGTTTCATAAGACATTTTATCGCACTCGCCCTTTAGAAAACTCGGCTCGTTTTCTAATATAGGGCTCGTGCGATAAAATGACGTCTTATGAAACTTGTATTTTAATGTACTATTATGGTATTTTTTGTTTTCTTTTATTTTTACCGAAACTGTTCGGGGCCCCCAAGGAAAATCTCGCGGGAGGGCCCCCAAGAAACTCGGCACGCGCCTGAATTGAATCTAATTCGGATATAAAAGTACATTTCTTTATTTTTTAAAAAACTAGTTGTGGCCCTGGTGGGGCCTCCATTTGAAAAAATATAACTTCACACTGTTGCACTTTTTTGACGCACGCTGTATGCCTAAAACTGGATTTAGGGCGGGTATTATAAAACTACTTTGAGAGTTAACTTAAAGTTAACTTCTGGATTCTGGAATTACATGTAATTGACCTTTTCAATTTAAAAGCCTCTCTCTCTGGCATCAAACTGTCAGATGCCAAAAGAGTATGAAAACAATGGTTGACAGCCGTTGACAGTGGTTTGTAGACAATACTTTTGAAAAACACTATTATTTCCTCGGTTTTTTCAAGGTTTTTTTCCTAACAATGGTGATTCTTTGTAGTGTGCCTTTTCATAAAAATAATTCTTATTCACTGGCGGATGCGTCTTTCCATAAGTTTCCATCAAATTCTACATTTGTCAAAATTTGGATACACAAAATCAGAAAGGATACTCGCAAAAGAAAGGGAAATCCACGTTCCATCAAGTATACAAAGTAATCCACGTTCAAGTTTAGTTTGCGGAAGCTGTTTGCTTCCAAAATAATTCATTACTGTCTTCATAGCGAAGTTCTGCGAATAAAGCAGTGACTTTTCCGACATTTTCTTCTCAATTTCAAACCCCGCGCAAATGTTACCGATGGATCCACCATTCTATGTCGGTCATTGTCATTTCCATTCACTTAACAAAGGTAACTAACTCATTGGTGAAGTCACCGATTCGAATAAAAATGAGGGGATTGCTAAACACCCAATACACATTGACATTGACAAGCAAGCAAATTTTGGCGGGAAAATGAATGTTTTCATACTTATCGTCTATCTCTTTTAATTAAAAACGTCAATTCAAAAAGTTAACTTCAAGTTAACTGTCAAAGCAGTTTTATAATACCCGCCCTTAGTTGAAAACAAGATAATTCCCCAAGTCAAAAATTTACCGTGCGTTCGTTATTTTGGTCCGAGTTCTCCGAGCTTGACTTTACCGTTCGTTTATTTAAAAAGTGTACTCGGTGCAGCCTCATTCGCGTTCGTTTATTAAAATTTCTGGCACTTTTAAACAGCGTTCAACTGCTCTGTGCGCTCACTGGTCACGTGATTACGGCTCCGCTCAGCACGCTCTGCTTTTTGAGCAAAATACCGAACGCAAGGTTAGTAACTATGTTGGCAACACAAGCCTTTTCTACATGAAAAATTTGAAAACATTGACAATTTTACATTTTATTGCCAACATAATGTCAGTTTGACTTTTATCTTTAAAAAAAAAACAGATTTTAACTATACAACAATTGAAAGTTTTTTTTTTTAGTTATATCAAAGTGTCGCGCTTTTTTTGCACTGTCCCGTTTTCCTAATGCCTATATCCCGCTTAAAGAAAATTTAGACCTGGCAACCCTACTTGACGTGGTCCTTTAAATTCTAAACTACGACCAGTGTTGCCAGATGAATTAAAAAAAAATCGTGAGAATCGAGAAAGAAAAATCGTGAGAAATCGTGAGACTAAAAATTGCTTAATATTGTAAGAAAATAAGGCACAAAAATGTTTTTTCATCGATTTTTGACAAAGTAAACATAATTTTACATCCATAAGAAATAAACATTTTATTATTAAATCTTGTATCCTTGTTTTTTCCGTTTTTTAGCAGGTGTCTCTGAGAGCTGAACCTCGTTTCCACTATCCGCTATCCGAATGATTGCTCATCCTAATAAGTCGTCGATTCTGGAAGCCGCAGCTGGTCTGCGAGTGACATCACCACTATCAGGAACATCCGCAGATCTCGATGGATTGTTTGCGATTCAGGCTGTGCTTGTGAGTTGATTTTTTTGGGAATTTTAAATTTAGAAAAGGTGATTTCACGTTTATGATTCCTTTTTTTCGGACGGATAATGCATTTTCTTCCAAGAGTTGAGGTCTACAGCCGACGTCACAGATAGTGGGGTCTCGTGGACTTGGCAAACACTTTCAGCTCAATAAGCATTCCTATATTACGTTAAGTGCTCAGGCGCCAGGCGCGCATGTACCAGGAGCGGCGTAACATAACTAAATATTGTATAGTAGATTTTTATTTCGATTATTCTCGATTACATTACATTATATTTGATTAGTGATTTGATTTACTACAGAGAGAATTCGTGAGAATTGCTACCTCATTCGTGAGATCGTGAAATTCTGACCAAAATCATGTAATCTTACGAATAATCGTGAGATCTGGCAACACTGACTACGACTGCTGGCGCAAACAGCTGACGACTTAGTTAATGACGTTGGCAATGGTGCTACACCCTTGACCGCGATTACCAAAAACGAAGCCGATGAGCAATCCTTTAGTAGTGTGTAATATCCTTGTTAGGACTGACAGACGACAGACATGAGAATTTGATGGAATTTGGCACTTTGGGATCGAGATCAGCGATCAGCTGTTTTTTTTATTGTTGTTGATCTTGGCAATCTTGGTTGTTAATAGACTGTGATCCAGCCAGAGAACTTAAATTCCAAATTAAAAAACAAATTTTCTCATGCACTACCAGAGCACTACCAATTTTTTTACTGTACATAATGTCTGATTTAGTGGCAAAGTGTGTTTTACGTGTCGAAGTAAACGAACCAACCGAATCCAATGGTAAGAATTTCCTCAAAAAACTTCAAAAATATCAGCAAACGTTTACAGAATCTCAAGATAGCCAAGGTGCAGCCGAAGCTCTTTCTGAGGAATCCGAACCCAAACAAAAAAGGGGCCAAAGGCGTGTGACTAATATAAGCGTTGAGACATTTGCAAATCGCTTAGAAACCCCCAGAGAAGATTGGGGTCTTTTACCAGTTTCCTCAAGAGAAGCGACCCCCATGACTGAAAAAGCTCCTGCAGAATTAGCCGAAGACAAAGCAGAAATAGGGTTTTTCAGTGGTAATCCTTTTGTGGAGGTTACCAATGGCATATTACATTTGTATAAGGAAGAGTAAGTTGAAAATCTGTGCAAATTGTGAGTTTTCATTATTTATTTACAGTGTGCTAACAAGCAGAAAAGAAGCCTTGACACTTTGCTTGTTGGGTGTGCCGTGTTCAATGACTTGCCATGATATTTTAGCATTTACAGCCCCCTGTCACCCAGATATTGGTCATATTAGAGTATTAAGGGACTCGTCGCCCAACCAATACATGTGTTTATTAACGTAAGGATATTTTGTAGTTAAAATTTTTAATATTATGGAGGCTTATTGTTACTTGTCTTGTAGATTTCGTGACCATGATGCGGCAATGGAATTTTATCTTACCTACAATGGAACACCTTTTAGTACTCTTGAACCTGAACTTTTATGTAGAATTGTGTGGGTGTCCACAGTTGAATGGGCTCATGATGGGTTACCACCTCCAGGTCATACCGAACTACCAATATGTCCTGTTTGTTTAGGTAATACTATTTTTTATTAATAGAATTTATTATGCTGTTACCAAGGCTGTTACATTATTTGTTTTTTAGAACGCATGGATGAGTCTGTAGATGGTGTACTAACAATCCTATGCAATCATGCTTTTCATGCTAGTTGTTTGGAAAAATGGGGTGACTCTACATGTCCAGTTTGCAGGTAATTTTATTTATCTACGATCGTTTGGTTATGACGTTTTTTCCATGTTTTTACATAACTATTTTTCTAGTATTTGAGTTGTGTCATGATAGATATCGGGTCTTCAAAAAAAAACCAATCAAAGATTGCTATGGTTTTCTGAACGTATGTCTTAGCAATATTTTTCTTTAATTTTGACAATGTCAGTCAATGAAATTTAATGTCAAAATGTCATGGCAAAAATCCTGACCAATAAACAAACAATAATGCGACATACGTTTTCGTAACCAAAGCAATCTTTGATTGTTTTTTTTTTTGAAGACCCGATAGATAGATAGATATTCTTTATTTGTTCAGTTACAATAAACATAACAAAAAACCCAGCAGGGTGTAGAACAATGTCACAATGTGAAAATATGCCATTTAATAGATTTACTAGATCTTAACACTATAACTGCGCCTATACATTCAATAATGACATTTAATATCATTTTCCCTCACAAGTAATATGAACATTGAAAGGACATTTCATAATAACTAAACTTTGGTTTAATTTTTTATTTTTTTCCTCTTTTGGCCGAGCCTTGTACCGTGCGTTCAATTTATCTTGATAACATTTTAATTCGCTGTAACTTTTTTGTTTTTGAAGGTATCAAGGTAAATAAAAAAACAAAATGTAGGGTTAGTAGCCAAGTTTTTTTTCAAGTTACCTATAAAACAAAACACTATCAATTTTCTGACATATGAGCCAACATTATATTTTTTTAAATGGAACACCCTGTATATTATATTAGTGTTTGATAGAATATCTTATTCCGATTACAATGATATAATACACTCCATATTTTAGTCCACTCGTTTTTGACAAATCGGCAAAAATATATGAAACTTTTGAAGTGAAACTTATTAGGCGGCGATCTGATATTTAGGGAGAGAATCATTGATAGTGCATATAAAAATATCATATTTTTACCGATTTGTCAAAAACGATTGGACTAAAATATAAAGTGTGTTATATCATTGTAATCGAAATAAGATATTCTATCAAACGCATATATAATATACAGGGTGTTCCATTTGAAAAAATATAATGTAGGCTCATATGTCATAAAATTGATAGTGTTTTGTTTTAAAGGTACCTTGAAAAAAAACTTGGCTACCAACCCTACATTTTGTTTTTTTGTTTACCTTGATACCTTCAAAAACAAAAAAGTTACAGCTAATTAAAATGTTATCAAGATAAATTGAATGCACGGTACAACATAAAGAAAAACAGAAAACACAACAAAAAACAACAGATTTACACAAATTTTTATATTCTCTGCAGTTGAGTGCCTATTGAATTTATCTATAGATTATTTTCCAATGAACCCAGAAGAGTTGTCCTATCCTCATCATTGGAAAATTCACTGATGCTATAATAGTATATTATGCAATGATCATGTAATGATAGCCATTAATGCACAAGAATGTTGTAGGATACGAAACGAGCCGCAGGCGAGTTTCGTATATAACATGCGAGTGTATTAATGGCCATTACATGAGAGTTGCATATACTATTTTTTCTACTTGCATTAATAAACGAAAAACATATTTATTTTATAAGAATAGTAAACTTCTCAACTGGTGACAATTGTTGACAACTTGACAATTTCAAAAATTAAGATCTAGACGTCATTTGGGCATAAATTCCGCATCCGAATTATTAATTTTTTGTTGTTTCTTCTGGTAAATACTAATAGAGACAATCCAAAATTCCAAAGCAAGTCTGTTATTTTTATATAAACATTGTTCATATTCGAAATACTCGATTTCAGTGGCTAAAAAATCTGTATCATAATGAAAATCTGTATCATAATGAAGTTCATTATGAAACAGATTTTAAGTGTATTATAAAACGTCAGTAGAAAAAAAGCTTTATTAATTAGGTATTTATACAAAACGGATTTAAGTTCACTTCTCGACAAACATCTAACTCTCTCTGGCAATGAATTAAAAATCTTTATAGCGCAGTGTTTAACATTTTTTTGTAGGTAAACAAAATTGCACTTTTCAGGTACCATACTATTTTTGTTGCGAGTATTATAGTAGTGCTTCAAATCACAATCAGAAAAGAGATCACTATTATCATATAAAAATAACAGTATCCAATATATACATTGCTATCACAGTCAATATTTGATATTTTAGAAAAATAGGCCTACAGCTTTCTTGCTGCTTCATACAAAATATACTCTGCAGGCACCTTTTCTGCATTACCATAATTCTGTGCACATCGGATGAGCCGCCCCAAAAAAATAACTCCATATCGTAGCCTAGACTGGATATAAGCATGAAGAGCGCTTATGGCAGCCAAAGTGCTTACCTCTTTAGCTATTATGCTCAGAGCATAGCAGTATTTAGATATACTGCATGCTAGACTCTCAATGTGTGCCTTCCAATCCAACCTCTGATCAATTTGCACCCCCAAAAAACGCGAACTCTTCAACGACTCAAGCTGATCACCATTATAAGGTATTAAAATATCATTTTCCTTTCTGTTGCCAAAAGTAGGTTATTGCATTTTACTGACGGCCCAGGATTGATCCCTGAGGAACCCTCCTAGAAATTACCACCTCCATCGACTTATACAAAGCACACACCCAGCTCATCATTCTCCACCACCATCCATCCGCACTCTATCGCTCAAGTAGGACCTTATCAGACTCAGTGCCACAGCACACACACCATATGCCTCCAACCTTTTACACAGAATGTCATGATTCACAGAATCGAAGGCTTTCGAAAGGTCCATGCACATTAGCATTGTATAATCCTTGTTATTTAATGAATTTATAACCTTTTCTATTGCTTGATAAATAGCTCAAATCGTAGATTTGCCTTTTCGAAAGCCATTCTGTCTGTCAGTTATTACTGCATACTTATCAAAAAAAGATGTAAGTCTTTCATACAAACATTTTTCAAATATCTTGCTTATATTTGACAAGAGGAAAATCGGTCGATAATTTTTCTCTTCGTCTGCATCTCCCTTTTTATGAATTGCTCTTACGTGAGCCACTTTAAGTTTAGATGGAAAAATACCTGGAATTTAGAGCATAGGAAAGAGGACCAGAGACTTCTTCAGCCACTTCCTTTAAAACAGATACCGGATACCGGCACTTCATCGTGACCAACAGATCTTTCGTTTTTCAGATTTTTCTTGACATTAACGGTTTCTCATTTAGTAACTGGTCTCAAAAAAATTGAATTTTCATTCCTGTTTTCAGTTAAATTTGTATCCCTGTCTGAATCAGACTTGGAAGAATTGCATGCATTGACAAAATAGTTGTTGATCTTATTTAGTGTTTCAGTTTTACTATTATATTTACTTGAAAAGTTTTCAAATATGTTTTTTTTCTTGCTATTTGGCCCTGTAATTTTGTTAACTAGGTTCCAAGTTGCTTTAGTTTTGTCTTCAGAATTTTGTATGTAATCCTGATTCGAGATTCTTTTGGCTAGCCTAATTACACTTTTTAAGACACTGCAGTACTTAGCAAAATATTCGGTAGAAATTAGCCCTATATTTTTTTTTATAATAAAATATCCTTTTATTCCTACAGGAATTCTTTATTCCAGCAGTAATCCAAGCTTTACTCATTCTGGTTGTATTAATCTTTTTCCTACGAGCGTGCCGAAAAGTTACTTTTCTGCACGATTTTTCGTTTTGAAAGTTGTACTTTTCCGCACGATTTTACTTTTCCGCACGATTTTACTTTTCCGCACTATTTTTTTACTTTTCCGCACGATTTTTACTTTTACTGAAAAGTGTACCCATATTAAAGTTCCGGGGCCCCCTATTTAGGGGGCGGAGCCCCGCGGTGGCCCCCTATTTGGGGGCACATTCCCGCGGGGGCCTCATTTTTGAGGGGCAGATTCCTACAGTGGCCCCTTCTTGGGGGCGGAGCCCTGTGCCCCTTCTTGGGGGGAGCCCTAGGGCCCCTTCTGGGGGCGCAGCCCTGGGCCTGTTTTAGGGGGCGGAGCCCTGCGGGGGCCCTTAATTGGGGGCACAGCCCCGCAGGGCCCCCTATTTTAGGTCATTTAGGTTATCAATTTTTTTGGCCAATTTAGATATAGAGTCCGTCCATAAACTACAGTAGCGCCCTCTTTCGACGGCAATGTAAGTTCTTGTATTATGACAAGTGCTTGATTCCATTTACACAAATGTAATTTTTGTTATTAAAAACGATTTCAAAGCGAAATATTTTTCATTATAAAGGTATGGTTGTTTACACGGAACAATTGTATTTAATTTCACTTCTTTTCTTGTAATTATTATTTGCCAAACGCTTTTTATTATTTTTTATGTCCGATTGACCAATAAAGTGCGATTTATAGAACAGTTTTGCGTCAATAACGTAGCACTTTATTGTACTAGTAAAATAAAGTGCTTCTTTATTTTACTAGTAAAATAAAGTGCTACTTTATTGCCTACCTGGACTACCTGACATGGTGAAACAGGTCTTGACAACCTGCCAAGGTGAAACAGGTCCTGACAACCTGCCAAGGTGAAACAGGTATACCTACGCGAATTTTAGTTTTTTCATTCAATTTTTTTAATTTTTAACAAAAACAAAAATCATGTATATAACACTTACATAAACAGGCTTTATTGACTCATTATTTAAGTAATAGCCTCGCTCGCAAGCTCGCTCGGCCATAAAATTATTCGTACAATAAAGCCTTACTTTATGTACTTGTTATATAAATAGCTATTATTCCGGCTATTGTGCATACCCACTACTTGTCATGCCTTTACCCAGGAACAGCTTCACAAATTATTGTGTTGTTAACTGTGGCAATAATTATGCCAACACAAGTGGAAATGTTCACTTCTACAGTTTTTCTAGTCGGTCCGATGATCAGGAAAGACACAGGAACTATACACTGAGTTTTCGTATTGATTTATTGTCTATTTTTTCATAAAATAGATTTTGACATTGTCAACTTTGAAACGTAAACAATACCTCTTGGCCCTGATTGGT